ACATCCTGCGCGAGTGGGACGCCGCCGTCGCGGCACGCAAGGCGGTGGGCAAGGCGGCGGACCTCGGCAGCTGCACGACGCACCCGGTGGAGCTCATGAATGCCGAGCCCGTGAGGAAGAAGACAGGAGCAGCGGCAGCAACGGCTGCGGCGAAGAATTAGCCCAACACCGCAAGGGGGAGGGAGAGAGAAAATGGGAGTGGTGGAGGCGCGGTGGATTCCTCGCCTGCTGCTATGGTGCCACCGCCACCACAGAAGCAACACCTACTACTACTACTACTACTACTACTACTACTACTACTAAAATCACATTCAAAATAACGTGCTTCTCTCATGAGTGAGATGATAACGAAGGGGCATGGGGGCAGCCGGTGTGGGGAGGGGGAAAGCGACGTGACATGCATCTTGCCCGCTCATGAATTCTCTTCTTTTTTTTTTTTATTTCATTCGGCTTGTCGCTCCACAGGGGGAGGAGAGAAGCATGGGGGAGAGTCGGCGCTTCTCCCGCGCCTCCACGCTGTCGTCCTCTGACGATGTCGCACACACCGCTGCGGAGGAACTCGCCGCGCAGATTGACGACTGCGCGAGTCTGCTGCCGTGCATCGACGCAGCAGCAGCGGTGCGGTCCATCCGGCCGCTCACGCCTCGGGGCCGCACCGTGACGGCGTGCGTGCCGTGGCGCACATCAGAAAAAAAGGAAGAAGGTGGGCGGTCCGTGGAAGTGCGCTTCGGCTACAGCGAGGCCTTCACGTGCGGCGGGCTCGACGGCGACGAGCGCATCTACGAGTCGCTCATTGCGCTGCTGGTGGCGCATGGCTGCGGGGTGCCAGGGGATGCGTGAAACGCCGCCAGACCTCTGTAAGGGATCAGGTGCGAGCGCGAGTGAGAGAGAGAAATTGTATTTCGTGGGGTGGGGTGTCATCTGCGGTGCTTGTTTCACACTGTTGGGCCCGTCATTGCTTTTGCTGTTGCTTCTTTTTGGGTTCGTGTAGAAGTTCACGGCGGCGCGTAGGTGTAGGTAGCCGTTGCTACGCGTTCGGGAAAGTGCAATGACCCTCCTCGCTGCGTATCTCGTGGTGCTCGCGGTTGCCGCGCTGCTGACGCTCAGCGCCTTTGGCCACCCCGCAGCCGCAGCAGCACTGGCGCGCGGGTGTGGCCTTGACTTCTTCTTCCCGACAGCCCACGCTAGCCGGGCGAAGGTGCCGCCCCTCGACACGCTGCAGTCGCCGCTGCACGCGCAGCAGGCGGAGATGCTGGCGTTCCTGCAGCAGACGTGCTGCACGCTGCCGGTGCGGGCGGAGACGGTGCGTATCTTGACACGCCCCACAGAGTTCTACGAGGAGCTGCGGAAGCGAGTGCGGGCTGCGCGGCGCAGCATCGTCATGTCGGCGCTCTACATTGGCGACGGCCCACTCTCCACAGAGTTCGTCGCGTGCCTGGAGAACAGAGTCTCTGAAGCTGTGCGGGACGGGCAGCGGCTTGACATTTGCATCCTGCTTGACCACAACCGCATGCATGACCGCCGCAACCTCCTCACACTGAAGCAGCTGCTTACACTGGCGCACTCCACTGAGAGTGCCACCGCACTCGACAACAATATTAACAATAGCAGTGGCAACAATGGTGGCGATGCCGACAGCGATGCAAGCGGCCCAGCCGTGCAGGTGAGGCTGTGCCTCTTTCAGTCGCCGTGCCGCTGGAATCGCCTTGCTTCGCCTTTCGGCCGCGCCAAAGAGGCGCTCGGCGTGCAGCATACGAAGATATTTTGTTTTGACGGTCGCGACACCATTCTTAGCGGCGCCAACCTCTCCGACGACTACTTTGCTACTCGCATGGACCGGTATGTCGTGATCGAGGACAATGCGTACGTCGCCGCGTGGTTCTCCGACCTCGTCCACACGCTCTGCAGCATGTCGCATCGTGTCGTCTGCCGAAAGGCATTTGCCAGCCAGGGCGGTAGCGGCAGGAAGCCCACGTTGCACAAGAAGAGTGATCTTGTCATTCTCCCTAACACAATGGGTATCGACCCTTCCGCAGAAAGCGCCGCCTTCAGCGTACAGGCAAATCACCTGCTGCAGGAGTTCGCCGCTCGAGCAGTAAAAGCAGCTGCGGCGATACCAAACGACAAGTCGTACGACACATACCTGTTCCCGACGCTGCAGTGTGCACGGGCAAATGTGTTCCACGACTCCCTTGTCGTGCAGCGGCTCCTCCACATGGCGCCGGCGTCGACACACATTTACCTTACCTCGCCATACCTCAACATGTACGCCCGGTTCGTGGACGAGCTATTGGCGAGCAGGAGCGCTTACGACTTCATCACAGCGAGTGTGCATACGAACGGGTGGCGTGGTGCACGGGGTTTTGCGGGGTACATTCCCTTCTTCTACCTGCAGCTTGAACGGGCGTTTTTTTATTTGATGCGGGAGTACGGCTGCGCTGACCGCGTGCGTGTGCGGGAGTTCAGCGTTGACGGGCTGACGTTTCACGCCAAGGGGTTGTGGTTCGTTGAGAGGGAAGACGGTGGGGCTGCGGCGGGTGGCAAGGACCACATCAGCAATGGCAACGGCTGCACAAACTCAAAGAGTGAAGAAGGGGAGGTGTGGGGGTACGTGAAGGCGCCGTACCTCGTGGCCTACGGCAGCACAAACTACGGCTACCGCTCTGTCCACAAGGACGTGGAGGCGGAGGTGTTTCTCTTCACCACTAACACATCCCTGCGAGAGGCGCTGCGCGACGAGCTCGTCTTCCTGCTGCGTCAGTCGACGCTTGTGACGGAGGAGCGCTTTGTGCATGGCGCGCAGGGCCGCTTCCAGCCCGTTGTGTCTCTCCTCGCCCAGATGGGGCAAGACTTTCTGTAAAAGTAGCGGTAACAGATGAAATTTCTGGTGGGCGCACGTGGTGGCGGCGCGACAGACATTCCCGCTGGCTCCGTTGCGTGGCGTACCACAGCTCCTAAGTGTAGGTGATAACTGTGCCACCGGTACACACGCATATGTATATATGTATATAATATATATATATATATATATATATGTGTGTGTGTGTGTGTGAACTACCGGTGGTGTTCCCTGTGAGGTCTCTGTTGCCATCTGTGTGTTCGTGTATGCATGCGCATACACCCGTGGTGCCTGCAGGGCGAATGGCAGCTGCTCTCTCGCGACTTTTCTCGTGAATGCCACACACACACACACACACACACA